CACGAGACATGAAACATGACATCCTGCAGAAACTTGCTGAGGAGATGTATAAGTATTCTGCTTATCCACAAGATGAACACTTTACTGAAGTTGCTAAGGCACTCGTTTCTAAGCACCCTTGCCTTGCTGAGCCAGGGTCAAGCACAGGATGCCACAGATGGAAGAATAGTTTAAAATTCAAAATGGGTCATTTTTGTTCCAAACTTCGTAGATGTGGAATGGCGGATGTGTCAGTCAATAGTAACAAGAGAACACAGCAGAATCCAGATGGAGAGCCACCTTCAAAAAACCTGAAGAAACCCAGGAGAAGCGAGATAAACAGCAGTGGAAAACTCCAGACAATTGCTTGAAAATGAATCGAAGAAAAGGACACCAAATGCAGCACTTGTGAGTCAGCTGATGAACCAGACCTTCTCATTAAGACAGAAAGAAATTGTGGAAGAGCAGCCTCCAGTGAAACGCATATTGGAATGCTGGCCAGCACTTTTCAGAAAACAGCAGGCATGTTAATAAATGTATTTAATGTAAATAAAATAAAGCATACAAACGACATAAACAGTGACATTTGAGTTCTGTGCTTAAAGGTTTTTGCAGAGTTCACAAGGGTGGTAAGTAAAAATCTCGAACAAGACTTTTTTGAGTCCTTGGACCGCCACAGCCCACGATTACTTGATCTTTAAATCCAAGAAAGGAATTGTTGGCAGGACACTTGCAGAGATCCTTGCCCAGGTTGAAATGAAGGTAAGCAATTTTAGGAACTGTAAAAGTTATTACTTTTTATGACAGTGATCCAGTTCCTTCTTTAAGATAAAGTCTTTGAAGATGAAGTCTTTTAGAAGAAGCTGTTTTCCTTTAAGGTTTAGATTTGTTAGTTTTTCTATAGCTTTGTCATTATCAACAAATTCTTAACATGAAAACCGATCATGAATTGTTATAGAGCACAATTGTTTTCCAAAAAAATATTAAAAGCAAATCAACTAACTGTTGTGCTGTGTAATGTTTCTTGCTCTTTTAATAGTCTTTGCCAAACAATGGAGCTCAATGGCAAAGACAAACAAGCTAAACAAGACAGTGAAAACACCAACAATACTTTTGGAGTAGATCAGTTCATTATTTGATTTCATGTTTTAATGGGATTTCTTGATAACAAAACAAACCATATAAAAGCACAATTATTGTTTAAGGAAAAGCCCATTTTCCCCTTTTTTCTTTGAGAAAATGCTTATTCTTGGTTTGTTCTTCACTCATTTGTAGTCCCATGATGTTGTAGCAATGCGGACTGCTGTCTTTGTTGTAAGTATTACATAAAAGGTTTAGGTTTTACCGATGAAGGTCTTTGCAAGGATAAATTTAACCTTAAATTAAACCTGATATTTGAAACCTTTTTTGTCTGCAGGATTCAGATGCAGTCACAGATATCGCCCAGATTCCTGTTGGGATATTGACTGTTGTGCCTGAAGACAGCCAGCAACCAGGTCCAAATGCCCTGCACCTTGAGCCATCCAGCATTGGCATCACACTGTGCGCTTGTCTTCTAATTGAAATATAGTCTTTCTGCTGGTTAAGGTAGGCTCTGAGTTGAGACTTTCTCTAGCTTAGACTCTGTTAGTTACAAGGCTGTCTTGTAGAACCTAGTGCTTAACTGTAACTACTAGCTTCAGGTGTAGTTTCGAGTTAGCTAAAGGTGTGAATTGTAGGGGCCGGACTATCAGTCACAAGGCTGATAAATTGAGGAGGTGTCCCGCCACAGACAAGCTTATTCTTCACTATCTCTTTTTGTCCTGATTACTCTAGTGTTGTGTCCATCATGCGCTTTATAATCCCTGTTTGCTCTTCCCACAGATCGCATAGAACCATCCATCATCACAGGACCCGTAATTCCACTAACCTCACCTATCCCCCACGGTCGTCAGAATCTCAGACCAGGGTGGCAGGTGGGCTTTGGAATTGCCAATCCGCTGTGCAGAAGGCAGACTTCATTTCAGCCCTCGCATCCTTCCATTCACTGGCGTTGACGGAGACCTGGATCACTCCCATGAATTCGGCGACTCCAGCAGCCCTGTCCTCTGCCTTTCACTTCTCCCATTCTCCGAGACAGTCTGGCAGAGGTGGTGGCACAGGTTTGCTTTTATCCAGACAGTGGCGTTTCACTCCACTTGCTTTTTCTCATCTTTCAATTTCCTCCTTTGAGTACCATGCTGTCACTGTATCCTTCCCCACTAAACTTCACATCATTGTCCTTTATCGTCCTCCTTCTCCTCTAGGCTACTTCGTTGATGAGTTAGACACTCTTCTGAGTCTCTTCCCCATCGATGGAACCCCACTCATACTCTTGGGTGACTTCAACCTGCCATCGGACAAGCTGCAGTCATCCTGCCTGTTACCACTGCTGTCATCCTTCGACCTCTCCCTCAACCAGACTTCTCCAACGCACATAGCAGGCAACGCTTTGGACCTGATATTCACCAGACCTACCTCCGCGCTGGATGTCACAGTAACTCCCCTTCACTGCTCTGATCACCACTTCCTATCTTTCTCACTCTTCCTACCTGCTGCTCCTGTCCATTCCACTCCTTCACGCTCCTCCTCTCGACGCAACCTGCACTCCACTCCTTCCTCCTCTTTCGTCTCAACTATCCTGACCACTCTTCCCCATCCTGATTCATTTTCTTCTCTCTCACTGGACACAGCTACAGATGCTTTCCTTTCTTCACTCTCATCTGCAATTAATTTTCTGTGTCTTCTCTCCTCCAGGCCAGCAAGATCTTCCCCACCTGCCCCCTGGCTGACAGGTGTCCTGCGCAGCAACCGGCAAGAACTAAGGAAGGCTGAGAGAAGGTGGCGGAAATCCCAGCTCGACTCGGATCTTCACTCCTACCAATCCTGTAGCTGCACGCATCAGATTTAAAACCCTAATGCTTGCCTACAAAGCCAAAAATGGACCAGCCCCTCCCTACTTGATGGCAATGGTCAAATCTCGAACTGTACCTCGAGCCCTTCGAGCTTCAAGTACAGCTCGGCTTGACCCGCCATCCTTCAAGGCGCGCGGAAGGCAAGCATCAAGACTGTTCGCTGTGCTGGCACCCAAGTGGTGGAATGAACTCCCACTGGCTGTCCGAACAGCAGAGTCTCTCACTGTCTTCAAACGCAGACTGAAGACACACCTGTTTATTCAGCACTTAAATGAGCACTGAATTAAGTATTGATTGGATTGTAATGTATTGTACAGCACTTATTGTATTGTATTTTATTGTATTGTATTGCACTGTTCTGTGTTTAACTCTGTCCCTTTTTCACTAGGTGTCAATGACTTTCTGATTCTAGCAGTGTCTGAGCTCAGGACCGGCTTTCTCTCTAACCTATTGGTAGCTAGCAAAGATTCTTTCTCTAGATAGACAAAGCACTTTTTGTAAGTCGCTCTGGATAAGAGCGTCTGCTAAATGATGTAAATGTAAATGTACTGGAAGGTAGCATCATTATGGATAACATTGAAGCTATGCTCAAGCTATTTGCCTGACTTTTGGACTAATTTATAATCTTCATTTGGACTATGCCAAAAGACAAAAGAACACCTTTGACTTTATTCAGAGGATTATGCTGAACCTGGGAGTAGGTAAACTGAGCCCAAAACAGAGCTTGAAAAATGCACTTGTGCAGTAGGCAGCAGGTATGTGCGGCTGGCATATTTAGATAGCAGATTCCTAGATACTTAAATGGACTGTTCAGTGTTTTTACATATTTACAACTTAAAGCCACAGTGTGATTCTTACTGACATTTACAGTCAGTCAGATTTTGATTGTCTTGTTTTATTTGAGTGATACAGGTTGAATGTCCAAGGCCATCTAACCTAAATTAGTTTGTTAAGTTTAAGTAAAAACTTGATTTAGTGTTAGAATTGATTTCATCAGTCTTCTGGAAATGGAGAAACAGACCTTGGTGCCTGCTTTTTGAATTTTTTTCAACTCTAATCTTGTTTTAGTTGCTTTTATTTGTGGGACACTCATCTTAGTGTTATATTATTTGAAGCCTACATAAAAGTAAAAAGTAGATGGACTTCTATTTTCTTTTCAAATAGAAAGTGCACTGTGCATTGTGTCATAGTATAAATGTACTACCTTTATGTTATAATGAAGAAGAAGAGAGATTTATTTTGCTAAATTAGCTCAATTCTCTTTAAAGTTCAGATGGTCACAGCTTTGCTCTCTGGTTATTATAGTTGTTGGGTTCTGAAGTAGTTGGACTTCAGCATGCAGTTAATTGAAATGCAGTTAAATTTTAGGATCATCAGAAGTCATCAATGTTATCAGCCGCCTTTTAGTTTTTTGTTTAGGACTTATAGCTAAGCTTAGCTATGCTAAGATTAAGACTAAGGATTGGATTAAAACTTTTATTTTAAGACTTTTAAAATATTTAAATTGTCTTAGAATTTTACCAACAAAAGACAATTTATGTGTTTCCACAAAATTTTTTAGGCTGAGGTGTGCAGAATGGCATTTTGTTCAAATAAAAAAGTACTGCTGACTTACAGTTCTTTGTTATGCTTACTTTATTTTTCTAAGGCAATCGGTTTCCTAAATTCTATAAAGTAAACAGGACTCTTTTGTCAAGTCAAATTAACTTGGGTTATATAAGTTGCCAACACTTAGGAACGACAAATTTACATTTACATGCTTTTTTGAAATAGGAACAACTCAACTAAACTGAGTAAATACAACTTTGTATTAAGTATACTTAAGTAGTAGACAAAGTAAAGGTAACTTGAAAATAATATTTATTTTTACTAAAGTTTTTTAAGGCAACCGGTTTCCTTGATTCCTTTAAGTAAGATCAACTTCTCAAATTTTACAGTGTGGTTTTGAAGCCAAAAAAAAAAAAAACATGCGGGACGGAACGGAAACGGCCTGGCCGGGACGGAACGGAATGGAGCTGCGATTCAGCTCAGCTTTGGCCTGTTTACCCCGCCTACTTCTTTAAAATCTCCTGCAGAGATGTGACAGCGAGTGAGGGTGACAGTCGTGATAGCGAGAGACAGTCATGACAGCAGGCAAAGAAGATGAATCCCGACCTAAAAAGCCTCGGCATCATTCTAAAAAACTCCACGACCGGAAACGCAATAAAACACGCGTAAATCTTGGCGACGCATTTAAAACGTGGAGGATCTTAAAGGACCAAAGGAACTTTAAGACGGATGCCGACTTCGCGGATTTTCTCCTGGAAAGGTGAGCGCTGAGCTGAGCTTCTGCTGACCTCAGCTAACCTTAACTAATTTATCACGGCTGCTAGCAGAGATGGACATTTGACTAATTTCAGTACTCGAGCTCTCACAGTCAGACTCTGGTGGTCCGTGTGTAGCTGGTTATCAAGGCAGACGAGGTAAGTCCGCTTACTATTCACCAGCTTCCTGTTCGAATGTTCCCGTTCCACCTTAAATGGTGCACTTTTAGGCACCAAAATGTAACCGCTGCAGCATTTAAGGTGGAACGGGAAAATTCGAACAAGAAGCCGGTGAATAGTAAGACTTAAGCCTTGTTCACTTGCTCAACACAGCGAGTGTTTTCAGAGCAGCGGGCTTTTGCTTTTGGGATAATGAGCTTAGCTTTGGTCACACTGTCTATCGTTGTTTATGTGTGATAGACCATTTTCCCTCTTTCGTGTTCGTTAATGCGGAAGAATAACAGTAAGGTTAGCGTTAAACGGTCAGGTCGCACTGTAAACAATGGCTGATACTGCCCGAAATCATTACTGCTTTCCTAATGCACCGATAATTCAGCTGAGCAGCCTCGCCTGAGTTTCCACTGATCAAGTTTAAAAAGGTTCAACTTCAGCCGAGACGCTCCGCTCGTCGTGTCACAGCGAGGTAGCTGAGCTGAAAACGGGCTGTACAGGACAGATTCACTCACATTAGTGATTAAAAATGCTCAAAGACAAACATTCTTTCACTGCTGTGTTTAAAATCCTGGAGATGCTCATCACAGAGGTTTGATTAAAACCCTGAGAAACTGACTCCTCTCCACTGCAAGGGCGCTCGCTAATGTTCCCTCTCTGCCACAGCGGCAGAAGCGGCTCCGCCGCACGGTGACTTTTGGCTGCTTCTGCTTAGCGATATTATCACTTCATCCATTTTTCGTCCATAAAACCGGAGAATTCCGCTTAATTTAACTCCCTGTTCAAAAAAGTCATAGAACCCACTGAAAGTGTCTGCTGGTTCCTGGTGGTGTTCTGTAGTCGCTAATGGTGCTCTGTGTTCTCCTGATGGGTTGATATCACAGTGTAAAGGATTCTGATCGTTTAATCGGGTGTTTTGGGACTGATTCCACATACATTTGTTCGTAGTGGTCTCTAACGGCAACCATCAAGCCAACTCCTGTTAGGAAGCAAAACCATTATCAGTACGGCAACGTTAATATACATTCAGTGTGACTCTTGGTGCCCAAAAGTGGTTCGCCGTGGCAGAACGGCATTGACGTCATCGATAGGCTGGCGGTGCATGTCAGACTGAGTGACTGCAGCCAGACCCTACATACCTTTTTCCGGAATGAGAACAATTATGTCCGATATTAACATACAACAGATGTGCTATCATGGTTTAATATTTTTAAAGATTTCATTTGTGACTCACAATAAAAATCAAAATAAACTTTCTGCGGAAAAACATTGGATTTCCAAAATAAGATTCATAATGCTCTTATCTAATCTTATTAATGTGTGTTTCTTTTTAATATTATTTTTAATATTTTACTTTCTAGCTTAGTTAAGTCATTGAGTTGGAAAACTTCAACGAATCATAACTTTAAAATTACTTTGAGTACAACTTTGAAATTTTATCCAACAACTTAAGGATTAAAACAGCGCAAACATTTCTTTTAACAGCACAAACCAGAACAAATAAGTGAGACCCTTTTGGTGTGATTTGGACATTGATGGGGGCCTGCATGACATCACTCATCCAACCTTTATAGCTTTATAACTGGAGAATTAAAACAGCTGGAGTGTTTCTTTTAATGGCACAAACCAGCACAAACTAATGAGACCCTTTTCAGGTGATTTGGACGCTGATGGGGGGCTGAGTGACGTCACAGGCAATAAAAAGTAATGTTTAATTTCTTAAAAACGGTGCCAACACAAACATATTATTATTGAACTTAATATTTTTTATGAGATACAGATTGCATCATGCTGCCAACAGTGTAATTAATAGGACCAAGTGTAGACGGGTCTCAATTAAAATGAACTCCCCTTATTAAACCCTTTGTACACAGGTTCTCATAAATAATTGGTGTAGCATGGCTTAGTATGACCTTAAGTATTTCATCCCTATGGTAGGTGTTAAGAACCCTTCTCTGAGCTAATTTTTTCTGGGGGAACAGCTGTGGACAAAGCATTTAATTCATTCAGAAAGTATTTCCCAAAAGAAAAAAATCTCTGCTCCACAGTAGTCACCCTGGTGTAACACTAAATTAGGAGAATAATAGAGTATGTTTTTATAGCAGATACTTCTTGAGTTGTATAGGGAGAACACGTTTGGACGAGACTATTCACCCGTCTACATATGGTCCTATTAATTACACTTTGCAGCATGATGCAGTCTGTATCACATAAAAATATTATATTGTTGTGTGTTTGGTTCTCCAGCAGTTCTGGACTCATCCTCGAATTTAAATCTTGGCAACTATGACAAAGGCTGCGTTCACATTACCAGGCTGAAGTGGCACAAATCAGAATTTTTGCCCTAATGTGACTCAGATTCTGAATTCTGTGCTTTTTCTCCACTGTGCTGCTCCATCATTCAGTGTTACCATGGCAGCAGCGCCGGACAGAAGTTAAAGCCTGTAAACGGTGGAAAAGCTGCTCATCTCACCTTTTTCTCCTTCGTCTCGCTCTAATAATGAAGCTGAGAGCTGATCAGAGTTAATTATCTTCTCAGCGAAGCTCGTTCTACTCGTTAGTTTGTGCTGATGATGCGCGTGATTCATTCACGTGACGTTACTGAGTAGGATGTATCTTAATTTTGATTATGAGTTCTTAAATGCGACCTGTCCTGCCTTCCGGCCAATGACTGCTGGGATAGGCTCCATTATTCTTCTTCTTCTTCTTCTTCTTCTTCTTCTTATTATTATTAAGGTCACAGGATAACTGTCAGTATCCAGTATTTTTATTAGATCTTTGAAACACAAATAATAATAATAACTTAAAACTTATGCTACTTATTATATATTATAATAGGTAAAAAAAAAACATACTGTGATTATTTTGTTACTTAAATGGAGCCCTTGCTTCTAATTTTCTGGTAAAAAAATATTGCTTGTTTAACTTGTCTATTCACCAGCTGTTGTATGAGGTTTATCTACAGTAGACCAAAACAGGTCTGTTTTGTGTATTTGCTTTTGTGCATTAATAATTTTTCTACTTTGAAAATGTTTATAATCGTGATGCACAATAAACAATCTGTCTACAATCTAAATGTTTCTGCTTTTTGTTTTGTTTAAGGGATTTTGCACTGGTGAAAATCAGTGTAGGCAAAACAAAGCATGATCATAATATACCCATGTAAGCTCATGATGGAAACAGTTAAAAGTCTCTGTATAACTTCTTAGGTTACTACCACCATGGGTGTGTTTAGAAACCCACCTCTTCCTGAAGTGGGATCCAATGCACATCCCAGAAAGGGCCCATGTTTAACATAATGTAGGATAAAATTATGTATCCAAAATCGTTAGCAGAACAGCAGTTTATCTATTTTTGTATTTGTTTACTTTGGGGGGGGGGTTCTCTAGTACTCATACCAATTATTGCATACAGAATCAGAAAACTTTCATGTTCATCAAAGTAAACTGTGAAACAGTGTCTCATACACAGTTGGCTTGATCTCATGTATGCATATATTTTCTAAAGACACACTGAATGCGATGACACCTGTACTTCAGTGACATACACAACTGTTTTTATTCCACAGAATTAAGTATAATTTTTCAGGCTTTTTCAACTCTGATTCAAAATTAAATGTCAGAAAAATGATATTCCAAAGCCACTTGAACACAAGGAAGTCAGATTTAGCCTGTTTTTCAGTGGACTCTTCACTCAAGAATTTTAGGCCTGCCATGGTTTCAAATTCATGCAGAAATATTGTGAAAAGTGTATTTATGAATGTGGAAAACATAGTGCTCTTTGACTCAAGGCATGTAGTCTGAGGGATGAGCAGCAGAATATGTCCTTGAAGATGTACACACAAAGACCGCAGACAGTGAGTGTGTATACATGCACTCAATAATCCGATCATAATCGGATTTCTGCAGTTATCCAATTATTCAAATGGTCATGTAAACACCATACTCCGATCTAGAAATCTGATTAAGAAATCTGATAAAGATGTCAGATTTCTCAGTGCATGTAAATTCTTCCTGATTTCTCATTCTGCGCGAGATCAGATGGTGGATGTCGCAAAATGCAGGAAAACACTTTTGGATCTGCGCTGAAAGCAAACACAAAATGAAGGATTTAAATATTCTTCATCTTCTAGATGATGTATGTTCATATTTTCAGGTAAAGTGATTTGATGTTTTAGCCGTGGTATGAAGTTTGAGTTTTACATTATGTTTACGTCGCATCTTCTTCTGTGAGTTTATCGGCTGGTTGTAAAGCAGAAATCTGATTACTGTCTGACTCATGTAGACCCGGAGTTTCCCATTATCTGATTATTCAAGTGCATGTAAACGTGTTGATCGGATTACTGACAAAATCTGATTTTCTTTAGTTATCATATTATTGAGTGTATGTTAACACACTCAATGACCAATCACAGAAATGAAGCCTTTTTCCTACAGTCTTGTACTATTTTTATTATGTAACCAAAATCAACGTGGAGTTTTCATTCTGAAATGGCTTTTGATACCTATTGATTATTAAGAAGAAATATTACTACTATTTTGCATGTTCTGCAGTAAATAAGTGTGGGATCCTCAGGGCCATATCTGGGCCGGGACCGAGGTGGGTACTCAGCCAAAACTATGTGCCACATATGAGCCAGATCTGTTCCACAGCTGTTAAACTTACACACTTTACAGTATATTAGGGGTGCGGGAAAAAATCGGTTCTTAGATGCATCGCAATGCGGACGTGAATGATTTTGAATTGATTCACAAATGTCAAAAACAGTCTGTAACGGCACATAACAAAAACACTACTGGTTGAGTGAGAAATCCGACCGGCTCCCTCTGCACTAAAAGCCAGGTTAGATCAGGAGTCACAACACAAATGATGAGAAGAGCCATTTTGTCCTTTCAACAAAAATCAAACATTTAATGTCCAGTATGTGTCAGTATGGTCTAGTATAGGCTAAACAATATAAACAAGAGCGCAGATTTACTTTGCTCTGCTTTAAGCTTTAGCTGTAGCTGCTTTCCTCCATCTCCGCCAGAAAACCTTTCCTCAAAACTAGATCAGTTTCTTGTAAAATGTCTCTCAACATTCAGCTGTCTTACGAGGCTGAAGTTGCTTCTTATTCTCCAGCTTCTTGTTCGAATTTTCCCGTTCCACCTTAAATTCTGACTGAGGCGCCAAATGTAATGCGGCACCATTTAAGGTGGAATGAGAAAGAGAAGCGACTTCATCTTCGCCACTTTTTACTGTTTGACAGTCTCTCGTTGCAGATTTAACTTGCTAGGAAACCAACTGCGCTGCCTATAAATGCGAATAACGCATCGCTGCTAGGTGACCTGCAGTCTGCACACCAATTCTCAGTCGTTGCGAAACAGGGCTTTCGCACAATGCTGCAAACGTCCCGTCTCAAAGATACTTTTACCCCCCCCCCGTCTCTACAACGAGACCAAAACCAAAGTTATTAAGTCACTAAAAACGGGTAGGACGGCTGTAATGTGCTGCGTGGACGTCCATCACCACTGGATCTTATTTCACCGTAACTGCGCATTTTATCGCAGATGAGTGGCAGCAGCTTCTCGTGCTCCAAAGAAGAGCAGTGAATGAGAGCCTTCCAGTTCAGCCACATCACTTCCATTTGTTTTATTAATAAAAGATATTGGAAGTAAATTCATTATGGATCATTACAAATACTTTGCTTTAAAACTACCAAGTCCTCACACAGTGAGAAAATAGAAATCCTGTATAGAAAAAAAAAAGATGCATCGATAATAGTTTTATAATCGCATCGCAGCCCTCTGAATCGTAATTGAATCGAATTGTGAGGTGCCCAGAGATTCCCACCCCTACAGTATATGGGCCAGAGCTAGGCCACATCTGCATGTTGTACTTATTTTACAGTGTGTGGGCCACATCTGAGCCACATACTTTAGTTCTTCTCGTTTTAGAATATATGGGCCAGATCTGAACCCCGCCAGAACAAAACCAAAGATGTGGCCCACAAATGGGCCTGATGAATTTTGCTTCCTGGGATATGACGTCTGTGTTTTTAATGTAGGAATTTGGAATAATGCCCAGGCAAAATCCTGACAAATGGCAATTTAAACAGGACTACTCCACACATACAGCCTTTAAGGTCAAGTTGACCTTAGAGGATGGGGAGCTTAAACTCATGTTTGTGCATGCACTGGTGGATAAGTGATGACAAGTAGTTATTGTGAAAAACAGATTTCAGATCAATGACATGTAGTACACCTTGATCATGTGTCTTTTTGCCTATATATACATTGTATTGTTCTTCTGTTTGTGAAATCTGCCGTTGTGGTAGTGAATGTTCTGCACAGGGCTGCGCTTTTGTCAGTAAATCATATTTAGAAATTATCTCCTCCCGCTTTGTTGGTGATTGTATTATGGGTGTTGAATTCTTTCCAGTGTCAATGTGATGAATTCAAATGAGTAATGAATAATTATAAGGAGGGTACAGTCATGGTCCTGGAGGGCTGCAATGACGATTCTAACAACATTCTTTCAACTCCCTTGGCAGGCGAACCTGTCGTGCTGTAGCCGTTGAGGCAACCAAAGAAGATGGATCCCAACCCAAAAAGCTCCACGACCTGAAACGCGATAAAACACGAGTAAATCTTGGCAAAGCCTTTGAAACATGGAGGCTCCTCAGGGACCAGAAGAACTTTAAGACGGATGCCGACTTCGCACATTTTCTCCTGAGAAGGTGAGCACTGAGCTGAGCCGACCTCAGCTAACCTTAATTTATCATGGCTGCTAGCAGAGATGGACATTTGACTAATTTCAGTACTCGAGCTCTCACAGTCAGACTCTGGTGGTCCGTGTGTAGCTGGTTATAAAGGCATACGAGGTAAGTCCGCTTACTATTCACCAGCTTCCTGTTCGAATGTTCCCGTTCCACCTTAAATGGGGCAGCAGCCGGCTTTTCGAAAATTCGAGCAAGAAGCCGGTGAACTGGAAGCGGACTTCAGCCTTGCTCAACACAGCGAGTGTTTTCAGAGCAGTGGGCTTTTGCTATTGGGATAATGGGCTTAGCTTTGGCTACTTACACCCCAGTCACACTGTCTATCGTTGTTTGTGTGATTATAAAATTGGAATAATGCGAAGAAAGAGTCCTGACAAATGGCAAATAAACTTTATATTTGCCAGTATTTAAAATCCCATAAGAGTTCAGTCAAATTATTATCAAAGTAGTCCACTGCAGTCTCGAAGTACAACCTGCTCTGGCAAACAAGGTATGACTATCTTTGTTTTTACAGTAAGAATTTGCAGGGGTGTAGAGAGTACTGAAAATCCCTACTCAAGTACAAGTGCTGGTACTGTAGTGATAATTTACTCAAGTATAAGTCAAAGTATTAGTAAATAAAAGTACTCAAGTAATAGTAAATAAGTAGTTCATTAAAAACTACTTAAGTACTGAGGGAGAGAGAGAGGGAGAGAGAGAGAGGGAGAGAGAGAGGGAGAGGGAGAGGGAGTGAGAGAGGGAGGGAGGGAGAGAGAGAGAGAGGGAGGGAGGGAGAGAGAGGGAGAGAGAGAGAGACAGAGAGAGAGACTTTGACTTGTAAACCCACTTTATTTAAACAATACTCTACACAGGCCTATCGTCGTATTCTAGCCACATACACATGGTCTCACACCCCTTTAAACAGGGGGAACAAAGAAAGAAAAGAAAAAACAAAAGAAAATACTAATTGTTTTCAGAAGGACAAAATCAGCCCCCCCTCCTCATCAAGTTCACATAAGACCCCACCCTGTCCCCACACTCGATGAAAGGCAGCCTCTCGATTGGAGGCTTGTACAGGGATCTCCAGCTGCCTTGTGGAGAAGAGCCTGGTGCCAACAAACCCAACCACCTCGATTCCTTCAAGCCATCCAGTGAAGTTCTGTGAAGGACTTTCACACAGATGTCATACGGCGCCTTCTTGGATACATCTGCAAAGCCAGCTAGTTGTGGAGTCCTGAACGAGAGAAGTGCTCCCTCCTCCTCCTGATCATCCCCTATTTCAGCAGTAATAGGGAGAGAAGGGAAGGGCTCCTGGTCTCCACATGAGTGATGCTCTAAGGCCTCCCTAAGAGAAGTGGACAGTGTTGAGATCACTTCTCCTATGATTCTCTGCAGCAGTCGAACAGACAAAATACCAGTTGCAGTACTTCACCAGATTTCCAGTCCTCACCAACTCTCAGATCTCCTAGTTTCGTAATACCTGCCCCTTGAAAGAGCAGACGGATACTTCTGAAGGTCAGCCCAGTGACTGGAATCAAAGGATTGTAGAACAGAGGCTCCTCTTCAACAAGAGAACAAAGCTGGACCTCAGATCTGGTAGTCCTAAGTGCCAAGGACCAAGCCCTCAGCACAGACCGATAGAAAGCAGTGGTCCCAGACAGGTCCATCTCTCTCAGCCGCAACACAAACAGATGTCTCTCATATCCCAAGCCTTCCACCCATCGCAGCAGAGCACAGGCAGTAGAAGCCCACGCCAACCCTGAGCCATACAAGAGTCTTTGTGCCGTTTGGAGTCTGAAAGTCCTTATCCGGCTAGACAGATCGATCAGACCCTGACCTCCCTCATGCACAGGCAGATATAGGACGGCACCATGGGTCTAGTGTTGGCTAGTCCGGAAAAAATCCACCAGTTTTCTCTGGATCCCCTTGATCAGCAGGTCAGGTTGCTCCAGCACAGTGAACCTGTTGGCCACAAAAACCCTTCCCCTGTAGGACAGCTGAGGCAGGACCCAAGCCCACTGAGACAACTTGGCACAGACCTTCTCCACTACTCCCTCCCAATTTTTATCCTGATACGCTGCTGCTCCCAGAAATACACCAAGATACTTCAAACCCTGCGACCCCTACCGTAGGCCTGCTGGCAAAACTGTTGCCCCTCTACCCTGCCATTGTCCCAAAACAAAACTCTCCGATTTATCCCAATTAACATGGGCAGAAGATGCACCCTCATACATGCACAGAGTTTGAGTCAAGGCCTGAACATCCTCATTGTCTCTAATAAAGACAGTTACATCATCTGCATATGCAGAAAACACCGCCCTATCAGCTAACCATGGCACCCGCAACCCCTGCAGCTTAGACCTCAACCTGCATAACAGAGGCTCAATTGCAAGGCTATACAGCTGCCCAGACAGAGGACACCCTCTTGGTCACTTAAAAACATCAAACAAGTCCATTCCAATAATGTTCCAAAAGCTCTTGTAAAATTCAGCAGGCAGTCCGTCAATGCCTGGTGAACGTCCAGTGGTGAGTTGTTGGACAGCAGAAGTCAATTTATGAAATTGAATGTCTGAGAACATGTGATGTCCCAAATTTTGGTAGCCCCTCCAGAAGTTCATCTCTGCAGTCAAAACCAGTGGCATCAGCACTGTAAAGATCTGTATAAATCTTCCTCATCTCAGCAGGCACTGAGGTCAAGTGTCCTTCAGGGTGTTGGAGAAACTGCTTTGGATTTTGGTGTGTCCTTTTCCGCTCTAAGTTGAAGAAGAAGGCAGTTGGGGCCTCCATATCTTTGATACTGAAGACACGAGCTCTAATCAGAGCCCCTTTTGCCTGCTCATACAGGTATGAGCCCAAAGCCTTCCTTTTCCCTTCCAATAAAGTACTAACTCCAGCATCATACTTTTTAACCAACTCATCTTCAATCAGACTTATCTCTCTCTCAAGCCCCCAAACCGTACTCTTCACCACAGATGCAGTATGTGCAGAATACAGCTGACAGAAGGACTTTATTTGTGTTTTCCCCACCTCCCACCATAAGGCCACATTGTCAAAGTCTGCCTTTCTCACTCTCCACCCCTCCCAAAAGGCTGTAAGTTCCTACAAAACATTTCATCCTGAATCCGCTTCACATTGAAGTGCCAATAAGATCTACATTTGGTCTTTCTAGCCAGCAGTATGTAACGGGTTTTGCAATTTTAATGTTATTATTGCTAGAACCTTATGTAAGGGTATGGAGTAATCCGGATTTATTTGAAGTCTACAGAACAGGGCAAGAAAACAAAACAAAACAGAAGTGATAGTAATGAAAGTCAAAAAGACAAATAGCTGAGTAAGGATTCAGCAGGCTAAGGAGGGGAGGGGGAGTAGAGAGAGTGAGGGGAGAGGGGAATGGGAGAGTGAGAGAAGAGGAGAGAGAGCGAGAGGGGGAGAGGGAGGAGAGACCCGGAGGGGACGAGGGAGAGAGAGAGAGAGAGAGCGAGTGAGATGAGAGATGAGCGAGAGTGAGAGGAGGTGGAGATGAGGAGGGAGAGGAGGGGGGAAGAGACGAGCGAGAGAGAGAGAGCGAGAGGGGGAGAAGGAGGGGGAGAGAGGAGGGGAGAGAGAGAGAGAGGGGGAGGGGAAGAGAGAGTGAGAGAGAGAGCGAGAGGGGGATAGGGAGGGAGGGAGAGAGAGGATAGCGGGAGAGGTAGTGGGCGGAAGAGAGAGGGGGAGAGGGAGGGGGGAAGAGAGAGGGGGAGAGAGAGTGAGAGAGAGAGCGAGAGGGGGAGAGGGAGGGAGAGAGAGGAGGGAGGGGAGGAGGGGAAGAGAGAGGGGGAGAGAGAGTGAGAGAGAGAGCGAGAGGGGGAGAGGGAGGGAGAGAGAGGAGGGGAGAGGGAGAGAGGGGGAGGGGGAGAGAGGGGGAGAGAGAGAGAGAGAGAGAGGGAGAGAGGGAGAGGGCGCGGAGGTGGCGATGGATCCGATCAGGCCAGTCGACAGCGCGACAGAATCACTGTCCAGAGTTTACAAAGATCCTGTATTAGACTAGATTTTTTTGTTATTCACGACTGTTTATCTCCAAAACAGCAGCTAAACTAGGTTGTATTTAACTAACGTAGCTGGCAGACACCGTAATAAAGTATACGCAGTAGATTTTCAGTGTAATAAACAGATTCTTTATAAAGACAGAAGAAACCCGTGAACTCGGTACCTGTTCAGCTCGATCAGCTCGCTCGGCTAACGCCGCCTCAGGCTGGAGCGGAGCTGTGAGAGCGGATCTCAGCAGGTTTCGTGTTCGGCCGCTGATAATAACGCCGTTTTCTTTAGTTCATGTTAAATGAACACAGATGACCGTTTGATCGCGGTCTGTTCCTCGCGTGTGCTGGTTCAGTTCTCCTCTGTCCTTCTTCACTAAACTGGACATCTCTGTAGTGTTTTCCTCCGGAGCTGCTGTTTTTAATGTGAATCCTTTAAATTTAACCACACCTTGTTATTATTGGGTGATAAGATGATACGCTCATAATTTACTTTACACTGTAACGTTATTAAATATTAAAGTAGCGAAGTAAAACTCTCTCATTAAAGAGTAACTCGAGTAAGAGTAAAAGTACTATGATTTAATTCTACTCCAAAAAGTACTGTTACAGGGTCAACTGTACTCAATCGCAGTAAGGAGAGTAAATGTAATCCGTTACTTACACCTCTGAGAATTTGGAATCATGCCAAGGCAAAATTCTGCAAACTGAATATTCCACTTCAAGTGTGCCAGTGTTTTAAATTCCATAAAATGGTAAGATCATATTGTTATCAGCACATTCCACTGCAGTCTTGGAGAACCCCTTCTCGGTCACTCAGCAAATGACTTTGGTGTGTTTTTAATGTAGGAATTTGGAATAATGCCAAGGCAAAATCCTGACAGATGGCAGCTTAAACAGGACTACTCCACACATACAGCATTTTAGCTCTGTTTAAAGTTAAGTCAGTGCTTCCATCCACTTCTTATT